TGCAGCTGTGGCCAGGCTTAACCTACTCCTGCATCGCCCCAATACAGAAAAGGTGTGTGCCGGCCACCAGAACCTTCTGCCCATTACTCAAACCTCAAGTCGGGCTCTAGAAACCACACCATCACGAAAGGGTTTTGCAGCAGGTTGAGTCAGGCCATATGAAGACTGTACAACCCAGGATTCAAGTGATCCCTTCATTTACTTGCACTTTATCCTAAGTGTGACAACCTACCCAACCCTACCCGAGTGTGACAAGCTATCCCATTTCGTCCCCTTTGCAGAGCGTGATCGGTTTAATTAACCATGCAATTTGAGCATCTTACTATGGCCCATGAGCCTTCTGCTCTGTGACCTCTGGGATAGTTTGCCTGGCGTGGGTACTCACAGGCCTTAGTTACATCAAGGTAATTTCCTGCATGACATCTTGTGTAGGTTTGCAGCCCAGAACTACTACATGACTTGCAGGGCCCAACTTTAGAATTAGAAGTGACCCAGATTTATAATGCCCCGAGGTATCCAACAAAAGCAGATTATTTCTTGAGGAAGTCACTGTCTTCTCAGTTCTCAAATAATTTCCATAACAATTCAAAATGGAAAAAAAACTATCACTAAACACTACAAAGAAAATGGCATTATGAACGGCAACCAGCAGAAACAATAGATTAGTCCCATAAAACTTCAAATATTAGAATGATCACATATCAAGGATAAAATAAGATGTTTACTATCATTAAAGAAATAAACAACAGCTTGAAAATATGAGTAACTAGCAAGGAGATTGGAAAACATAAAACAGTTATAAGCATAACCAATGGACACAGACAGTAGGGTTGAGGGCCTGTGCGGGAGGGTGGGAGTGGGTAGGGAGAGGTCAATGGGGGGGAAAGGAGACATGTGTAATATTTTCAACAACAAAGAATTTAATTAAAAAAATAAAACATAAAACAGAATTTCTAGAAACAAAAATATAATAGTTATAATTTTTTTAAAATCATTGAACAGTTTGACAGCAGATTATATCTTAATGTAAACCCAAGAGTTTACAAAATGCTGCACTTCTAAATAGGACTATGGGGAAGGTGTCTGTGTGTGTATATAATAGCTTAAATTTATATTTTATAAATAATATATACGCATAGATATGTAAACTAAAAAAAAGTTTCAAATGAATTTTGGAGATACTCAAAATATTCATTTGCGGTTATGGGAGGGATCACTATGGCTAAATCAGGATGATCCAATCATTTCATGTCACTTTATGATTTTTAAAATCCTGTGCACCTCATAACATAATTTTCTGAGCATGTGTTTAGCATCATAATTTTATTATTAATAACTGCATGATACTTCTCTCTTTTTTTAACTGTACTTCTTAAAACACTTTCTTAGTCATTCTGCTTATTCTTATCAATAACCTCTACTTGAAAATGAGTTAAGCTGTGTGAAATGAGAGAAGACACTTTTTAGAAACAATACTCCCAACCCCAACACCGATATTATAGCTTGGATGCATTTCAGAGACTTACATTCCAGGTGTGCCCTTGTCAATCCATTCCCATTTACTTTCCTTTTCATTAAATGACAATCCAATCCAGTAGTTATTTTTATAAGTCTGGGATTGAAGGAAGGCCTGTAAAGGAATCACAACATGTGTGACTAAATTTCCATCAGTTAGATGAATGGAGATGACAGGAAAAGCAGCCAGCTGAGTTGGTGACCAGTCCTCTGCTGCTCCCCACATCATCCTATATACTTCCTTTCTAGAAAGTTTTCTACCCTCAATTCTTGTATTTTCATTTTCCAACATAATTTTCTCCTAGTACATTATTTGTATCACAAATGGCTGCAAGAGCCCTGGCCGGTTTGGCTCAGTGGATAGAGCGTCAGTGTGGGAACTGAAGGGTCCCGGGTTTGATTCTTGTCAAGGGCACATGCCCAGTTGCAGGCTTGATCCCCAGTCGGGAGCAGGGGGGAGGTCAGGAGACAGCCAATCAATGATTCTCTCTCATCATTGATGTTTCAATCTCTCTCTCCCTCTCCCTTCTTCTCTGAAATCAATAAAAATATATATTTTTTTAAATGGTTGCAAGCATCATAGATTATTTAAAACATGGGAAAAATTAAAATCTAAATATCTAACAATAGGAGACATAAAATAATTTGATACTTTGTGAACTGATTCAAAAGCATGCTCCATAAAAATATTTAAGTACATAGAAAAATAATTATGCATATTTTAAGTGAAAGAAGGAATCTTCAAAACAAATATATTAAAATAAGAGTATGTGGGGAGGTGTACATTACAGCCTTCAGCCTCATAAGAGGAAACCTTGCTATAGTTTAGTAGTTGGAAGGGGTAGAGGAAAATGGGGGAGAATTTAGGAATATTTACTAGTCCAAAAATGTAAAATCAAAGTGACATAATACATAACGTCTAATTAAATGACTAAATGTGTTTTGTAAATATAGGTTTAAATTTAACTGTTTTACTGCATCTAATACAGAAAATATTTCATGGCAAGATAAAATCTTCTGCATTATGATTTAAAACATCTTTTGGATTTGTATATAAATTGTGTGAACCAGGAGGTCACGGTTCGATTCCTGGTCACGACACATGCCTGGGTTGCTGGCTCAATCCCCAGTGTGGTGTATGCAAGAGGCAGCTAATCAATGATTTTCTCTCATCATTGATGTTTCTAATTCTCCCTCTTTCTCCCTTCTTCTCTAAAATCAATAAAAAAACTTTTTAAAGAATATTGATCAAGTAAATGTTGCCTGCAGATGCAATGAAAATCACCATGAGGCTAAAACTGTAAAACTGTTATCACTTTTATGTTTCTCATCATTATTTCCATTTCGACAGGTGGGGAAACTGAAACTAAGAGAGGATAAGTCATTTACCAAGGTTAACGAACTAGTAAGTGCCAGAGCTGGAACTGACCACAGGCAGTCTGGCTCCTGGATTCCTTGTAGTAACTACTCGACCATGTTACTCCAGGATTTCAGTTGTCACCTTATTGGGAGAAATAACTGCTGGTTCCAGTCTGTACAATTAAGTACTTCATCAAAAGTGAGGCATATTTCTCTGTGAGTGTTTTTCTTGAAAGAAAGATGATTGCAAAGACCCAAAATGCATCTTCTAAGGCCGTGGTTGGCAAACTGCGGCTCGCGAGCCACATGCGGCTCTTTGGCCCCTTGAGTGTGGCTCTTCCACAAAATACCACGTGCAGGCGCGCAAGTACAGTACGATTGAAACTTCGTGGCCCATGCGCAGAAGTCGGTATTTTGTGGAAGAGCCACACTCAAGGGGTCAAAGAGCTGCATGTGGCTCCCAAGCTGCAGTTTGCAGACCACTGCTCTAAGGGGTTTCCACTTTGCACATAATAATGATCATGATAGGTAATATGTACTGCATGCTTAGTAAATAACAAGATCGTGTTCCTGTTAGTAGGCATAGTCTCCTGAGAGCCTCTTAACTGTATTACTTTTGCTCACTCAACAGACACAACACAAAGAATAGCTGAAGGTTCCTTTTTCTGGGCCCCTCCCCCTATCCTCCATTTTTTTGGGTGTGAGAGTGGGAGACAAAGTCCAAGAGAATAAAAGTGAATATAATCATCCATGATACCAGTTCATCTTCATTGTCTATCTTCAAAAGAGATAATCCTTTATTTTGGCAAGTCTGTTTACATTCCATCCAGTTTTTCTTTTCAGTGGTAAAAAGGTAACAGTTTACCCCACAACAGGACCAGAGTTCTTCAATGAGTTTGCCTACAACATATAAGGTAAAACATTAAACTTCTTGTTACAATATATTTATCAGCCTTCTATAACTAAATAAAATCTTAATAGCTACCAATAATGATAACATGAGGTTCATCAAAATTCTGGAATGCCAAGAGACATCAGCACTCCCATGTTCAATGTAGCATTATTCACAATAGCCAAGATATGGAGCCATCCCAAATGTCCATCAACAGATGAATGGACTTAAAAATGTGGTCTATACCTACTTGAAGTACAATTCAGCCTTAAATAGAAGGAAATCCTGCCAGATGCAGCAACATGGATGAACCTTGAGGATATTATGCTAAATGAAATATGCCAGACACAGGACAAAAACTACATGAATGCAGTCACATGGGGTATTTTAAACAGTCAAACTCAGAGAAACAGAACATAGCATGGTGGTTACCAGGGGCAAGTAGGAGGGAGAAATGGGTAGTTGCTCAATGGGTATAAAGCTTCAGTTATGCAAGATGAATAAATTCTAGACATCTGCTATACAGCATAGTGCCTATAGTTGACAATATTGCATTGTGCACCTAAAAACTTGGTAAGAAGCCCTAGGCAGTTTGGCTCAGTGGATAGAGTGTTGGCCTGAGGACAAAGGGTCCCAGGTTCGCTCCGGTCAAGGGCACATACCTTACTTGCAGGCTCCTCCCCAGACTGGGCCCTGGTCAGGGCTCATGCAGGAGGCAGCCAATTGATGTGTTTCTCTCACATTGATGTTTTTCTCTATCTTTCCCTCTCTCTACCACTCACCCTAAAAATCAATGGAAAAATATCCTCAGATGAGGATCAAAAAATAAAATAAAAACTTGGTAAAAGGAGAGATTGTATGTACCACAAAAATAAAAAAGGAACATGAGGAAACTTTGGGAGATATTACCCTAATTGTAGATCATTTTACAAGTGTATGTATATATCCAAAGTCATCAAATTGTATACATTAAATATATACAGTTTTTAAAATATTATTAATATCTCAATAAGCTGCTTAAAGAATAATAAAATTCAAATAAATTTCTGGAATGTCTTCTAAATAACATTATTTGGAATTTTTTTTCTTTATCTCTTATGTATTTTACAATATACCAAGTTTTTAAAATATTATTGATGCTTTAATAATGGAAACAATAATTTCCACTGATTACCATGCCTAAATGAGATTAAATATGCAAAAGCTCTTTGTAACTCTAAATCCTAAACAAATATGTATTAATTGCTGATAACCAGGACAATTCACTCCATTGTTATGCATGATAACAGAATTTATTGTATGAAATTAATATTTTTACCTCTTGTAATTTTTATAGGTATTACCATACAGAGTTGCACAAACATCAGCACTATGACAAATCTTGCAGGTGTATTGTAGGGAATGCATATTGATCACAACCGACCAAAAATCTGAAGTCAAGGCAGAATGGAAAAACAAGACACACACACACACACACACACACACACACACACACACACACACTTACAATTATCTTTACAACAGCATTCAAATAAAAGGCTTTATGCCCATTGCAGCCTAAGTCTATTTTTATTGATAGCATCCACTTCAGCAACAAAGTAGAAGTGACAAATTTGCCCACAGGTCCAAAATAATCTGAATTTTCAAGGGAGCTAACATATTATTTCACCTCTGGAAGCAGTAGAAAGGCAAGAACTGCCATTAACTTTTGGGGAATACAGGGCCCGGCTAATCTAACCATGGCTCTTGGGGTCTCAATCCCATATTCAAAAAAGCAATCTCAAATACCCATATTATTTCAAAGAGGCATAAATTAAATTTCCCCAGTAGACCTAGATAACTAGCATATAACAAGCCTGTTATTAACTTTGAAGCTTCTGAAGAAGAAATAATGTAAAATCATGCAGTCTCTCACTGGAGAGTTCCTTCATACCTGTATGTTGCAAAGATTTTGAAGAGATTTTCTTTTTTCTATGACATGTCTTCTCTTCTATTAATGGTGAGACCGGTTTCTTTTCCCACTGAACTGTTTTGTTTTCGAGAATGTCAGACGCTGGAGTCGTATTTGCCAAATGTTGCTTTGTTAAGCAGTTGTTGTTTTGCATAATGTGGTTTTGTAAAATGTCATCTTGTTGATGTTTTTGTTGATTACACTGAAAAACTAAAATTAATAGAATAGATAAAATGCAAAAGGGTACTCATAATGCTTAAATGCTGAAAGTAAAGAGAAAAAATCTCACTTCGACAATCAACCGATTTCATTACTTTAATTAGCAATTTGACATTTAGAAAGTAACACCTCAGTAAGTTGATGATAGAAATGAAAACATCAAACTTCTCACTGTTAGCAATTTAAGTCTAGAATAAATAAAATAAGAGATCTGAGTAAAATTATGATACCATTCAGTATAGTTTCATTTTGATAGCACATTATTTAAAAATAGGTACCAAAGTAAAAATCAGTTAGCCAACTTTTAGCAACACATCTTCTGAGTATGAAAATCTGCACTAAGACACATGAAGAAATAGCACCATTATTATTAACTAGGATAAACACAGGAAAAAGGAGGAAGATCCCAATATGTCACTTTATCTGAGTGCAATATATTACTGATTTCCTCTAAAGATATCAAGGAATTCAAATAAAAAATAAAAGTTAATGGACTCAAGATTCTAACATCTATGTACAGAATCACTCTAAATTTTTACTAAATCATTTCTTCATTGTATTCTTTTTTTAGCTTTATTTTTAATGTTGACACTATTATAAATATCCCCTTACCCTTCCCCCACCTCTTTGCCCACCTCCACCCAGCCACCACCCCCTTCCCTCTAGCTATCGCCACACTGTTGTCTGTGTCTGTGGGTTATGCATATATGTTCTTTGGCTAATCTCTTCACCTTCTTTCATCCACCACCCTAATCCTCCCTCCCCTCTGACAGCTGTTAGTCTGTTCCATGTATCCATGCCTCTGTTTCTATTTTGTTCATCAGTTTAGTTTGTTCATTACAGTCCACATATAAATGAGATTATAGAAAAATAAAAGAAAGTCATAATTTATTTCAAACAGTTGTTTCTTAAAGAATGTTTATCTAAGATTCACAATGATCGAAACTCAGAACGCAGAATATTACTAAGTCCTATATCAAAAGGAATATTACCTGTATGATAAAGAATGAGGCTGCAGAGTCAATGAAATGGGTAAGTGAAGTGAAAATAATACTGTGCTGTGTCTAGGAAAAAATCACCAAGAAAAAGCCATCTGAAACATTCCCTTATGATATCCAGGGAACAACCGATTGTTAATAACTGCAACATTGGTGATTAGTGCTATTACTCAGACTCAAAGAATGTATTTCAGTTACTTACACATTGTTCCCAACACTATGATTATCATGATTAGAAGTAAACAGAGGATCCCAAGAGCCACTGCAATGAGATGTGAGGGTCCTGAAAACTCTTTAAATAAAGAAAAAAAATTAATCATCAGGATAGAAGGATATATATAACAACATTTATATATATAT